AGCCTGATATTCACCTCCACCATCACTTTACACAACTTTGATTTTATGCCCAAACTGAACTTCAACCATTTTATAGAAATGAACAAAACATTTCCCAACTTTCGACTTACTCTTGAGCAAATAAAGCCAAGTATATCTATTACAAACATCAATAAATGACACGTAATAGGCTTAACCATTAGAAGAAGTGAAAGGGGTTGGTCCCCATACATCCGAGACCATTAACTGAAATGGAGTTGTATATTTAGTCATTGAATTACAAAATGACAACTTATGTGTTTTGCCTTGCAAACAAGTAGTGCAAACTTGTGACAAACTACTAGCATCTGACGACACATGCATGATTTCATAACTACCTTAACTGTCTTAATAGAAGCATGACCTAAACGTTTATTCCATAGATCCAATATAGCTTGTGACATGGACACATTATTGAAAAGACACCTAGGCTCCCTCTCAACACTAAGTAGCAACTGATATAACCCTTCATCCGTGAGCTTCCCTCACAAAAGAATGGCCTGAGTCCGCACATCATTCACAAAGCATTCGAAGTGTTGAAATTCAAGAAATACATTGTTATCACGTTTAAACTGAGAAATAGACAATAACTTATACTTAATAGCTGGAACATGAATCATATTTTGCAAGATCAATGGTTTAAAACTAGACTATAAACAACCTCGACCAATATGATTAATTGAAACACCTTTACCATTGCCCATGAGAAGGGTATTATTACCTGTATAGGTAGTTCCCGAGTCAAAACTGACAAATCATTCGAAACATGGTGAGTAACACCAACATCTGGATACCAAAGTGCATTAGTAGCATTTGACTGGGCTGATACACTTGAAGAGGCAGCAGGTAACGCAGAAACAAATGTTGTTGATGACACATTTTGAGGAGATGTGTTAAATCGAGTATCAATAGACAAAGAAGTAAATGATGCATATGGAAAACCATGATAAAATGGTGGTGATATTCCTGGGGCTCCAGGATACAAGGTAGATGAATACATTAAACTATTTGGATAAGGAGAAGCCATATAATATGTGTAAGCTTGCATTCATGGTGAAAACGCATGAGAAGAATTACTATCAGCATTCGAACTCAAATATTTCTTCAAAGCATCATTAGGCAGAGACTCACCATTAGTAACACCAGTGAAATCTCTATCAAACCGATGATAACATTTCTGAACAGTATGTCCAAACGTAGCACACAACTGACACTGATGTCGATTTAAGCCATTAAATCATCCTCGACCTCTCCCACGATAACCATTGCCTTGCTGCCTTCTTACCTGAGAAGATTGTTTCTCAGGCATCTATTCATCAGTAGAAACCTTAACTGGTATATCACCAGTACGAGTGTCACTCGTATGAACCACCATATTGGATGAAAGACCATCACTAAGAAACATCTTCTATCGAGCTTTACAATCAAGAAGCATTTCAGTCAGAGCATCTAAGGAAAAAGTATCACGAGATGCAATAACAATAATCGATTCAAACTCCATAGACAATCCAGCAAGCACAACACTCACATGCTCCTACAGTAACCACATATCCAGCTGCATTTAACATATCACAAATAGATTTTATCTTTGCCAAATATTCACTTACAGATAATCTAGCTTTCCTTTGAGAGTGCAAATTATGTCGAAGTGCATAAATCTTAGCACTAGACCTGCCGCCAAATAGTCGTTCTATTGCATTCCAAATAGTAAGGGAATACATTAACCCTGTGAGATGAGGTAAAACTTCCACACTAATCGTTGTTAATAACCAAGATGCTAGCAACTTATCTTGCCGCCTATACACAACAAAAGCGGGATTCTTCTCAACTTGACCAGAGTCATTTGTAACCCACTCACTTGGAACAACACTATTAGAAGAAATATATTTCATTAAGCCATAACCATCAAGTATAAGACCTACTTAATGCTTCATAAGTAAATATGTATTTTCAGTCAGTTTGAGTACATCATGTTTAGGAATATACTGAACACAAGATAGAGTAGAAGGAAAAACCGAGGAATTCCCAGGGGAATTCATTGGAGAGAATACCTGTGAATCAGCCATGACTATCACCATAACAAAAACAAGTCAGAAGCAACACACCTGAGCGAACACATCATTCATAAACACTCAATTAAACCAGTAGCAGAGAATTACACAATGAAGATCAAACCTCCAGGAAACGATGACTGATACCATGTTAAGATAAAGCTATAACTATCATGTAATTAAAACAAAAGGAAGAAAGAGTAGTGGAAAATTTAGAATCATTTTATTGTAAACCAAAAGATGCATTTACTCAAAACAAGGAAAGATTATATACTAAGATGACTAACAGCTATAACTACTTCTTTTACCAACTTGTCACACAATGTAAGCAAGCCACATAAGCAAGCTATTAACAAACTTTTAAAAACTGCTTAACAAAATTATGCACAGAAGCTTAACAGACTCATGAACATCAATTAACGTAACAACTTAGCAAATCATAGCAATGCATTTCATACTTCTACACTCCATGTTTAGTTGATATCCACAACTTCCGGTGTAGATGCCGCTATGGTAGAAATGAAATTTGTACCCTCCTGCAACAATCGCAACTGATACAGGTTGCTCGGTAACTGCAACTTGTAGGCTCTTCTCCATGTTTGCAGGTACTAGTTTGTATCCACTAATCGTAGCTGCATGATTTCTAGCTTATTCTTCTTGCACCTGCTACTTTTTACGGTGTATGGATAGCTTTTATCGGCTAAGATTCCACCTTGTTTATGATTAATTCAAATGCTTTGATCATATGCTTGTCGTTGCAGCCTTCATTGAATGAGTTGGTGTCACGATTGACGAGTTATTGTTCTGAAAGAGGTGTTAATTTTCCAGTCTTGATTTGGTTGATCCCTTCAATGGCTGCCACCTCCGAGAATGCCCAACAACTCCCTGTATCATCCAAGGTAGGTGACGTTAAATCATTCTAGACACGAATTGTTTTAAGGGTAAAGTATATAAATGGTCCTTCAATTATATAACATTACTACTTTGAGTCATTCGACTATTAAAAGTTATAAAATGATCATTCGACTATTCATATGTTCCAAACTTGTCTTTTTCTGTTAGAAAATTAATTACAATATGAGTTGGACGTTAATTTGTTGACTGATATATAATAAAATATGCTATCATAATCTCAAACGATTATCATATTTCAGTCAGCATATTAACATATAGTTCAAACTATATTTATTTTATAACTTAAAAAGATGAGTTAGAAACATATGAACAGTCAGATTACTATTTTATAATTTTTAATAGTCAGATGACTCAACAAAGCAACACCCTATAGAAGGAAGGTCCTTTTATAACTTCTAATAATCAAAGACTTAATAAAGAAGGATCCTATACTTTACTCTAGTTTTAAATTTGTTGTGATGGTAGCATTTCGTTAACTAAACGATCAAGCAATACCACAGTTGCCTTGATCCTTGACTCCGGTCACAACACCTTTCTTTCGGCAGTCTATGCTTTCTGGCAAGCCATGATATTTTTGTTGTTGGAAGCTATTGGTCTCATTTGGAAATCTTATCCTCTGGTAACCCAAATAGAGAGCTCTAAACTCATCGTCGAACATGTCTGCAAATTTGTTGTCAATCAACATGAATGATAGGTTTTGAGAATTGGATGCAGTCAATAAACTGAGCATTGGATTTATAAATCTCGAACTGCAACGCCCATTCATTCTTGTTCTTGTACTTTCGGCCATGTCGGATCAACCATCACTGGTATCCTTCTAGCATTTTGTCCGAATGGTATTGTACAGAGTAGTTGTAATGGCACCATACCCCTGAGCACATCCATAAGGCACATACAAGTAAAAGAGTGGAAATAGCAGTCCCCATCGCACTGCACTGCCAATATTTTCGTGTATGCTGCGGATAGAGTAGATGAATTTGTATTGTGCTTATAAATAAGCAAAATTGGTAATTGTTTTGAGACGTGTTTTGGTTCACTTATTATGTTCTTATCATTTGGTTCACTTTTGACTGTTTTATTCATGTTATTTGCGCTTGTGAATTTCAACGGGGCAAGTCTTCTGTGTATATAGCATTCTACTTTACTTGAGATGAACGGGTGGCTTAAAAGCCCAGATAAGAGAATCATCATCAATTGATTTTTTTTTAAAAAAAAACAAACAGAAAAAATGTCCATTTATTCAGCACGAGAGATCTTTAGTCCAATTCTTTTAGCAATTTGATTTTTTTTTAATTCCTTCGATAAAATAAATAATATGTTAATTTAGAATTTTAATATTGACATAAACCAAATGATCAATGGTAAGATAATTGTTATTATTTTTTTTAGTCCCCAGTTTAAACAACATAAATACTAAGAGAATGAACATTAAATGTCAAATAATTGAATTTTTTCACAAATACTACCTCGATTCTTATCCTAAATGAATAAAAAAATAATATTGTTATCTCCAATGTTAATCCTCCTACTAAACATATTATAAAATAAAAATTAAATTCAATAGTATCTTAATAATTTTATATCTAAAAGAAAAAAAACTAAAGATATTCTTTTAACTTTTTGACTAGTTTGAAATGCATTTTTTTATTATAGAAACTTTTTTTTTAAATCTTATTCTATATTGCTCTAAACTAAATTTGAAATACCAATGGCGTAGTTTTATGTTTTTCCAACATACATAATTGAATTAGGATATAAGAACTAAAATAATTTATCATAACATAAGAGAAAATAGTACAAATTTAAACATAAAATTTCTAATTGAAAGAGCAAATTTCAAACAAAACAAAATATTAGTGTTCCCTTTGTTCAAATCAAATAAAATTTATTTGATAACTAACTGGTACAATTTTCCTTGTGTATTAAATAATTGGCAAAATCTGAAGTCCCCCCTCCCCCTTATTATTTTGTGAAAACAGAAATAAAATGTTTCTTTTTTAATATACTCTGCAAAATTATGTTGGGAAAAGTGTGAGTCAGTCTTTCATCCTCTTACTCATGGCTTTGCTCTTGTTAACATCCAGATATATCTTCCTTAATCTGATGGTGTTTGCTGTAACTCGGCATTCATTTAGCCACTCCACCAATCCGCAAAAATATTTGAATTTGTAAAAACTCCACCAAAAAAGACCTTAATCAACACATCTCTATAAGCTCATCAGAAGCAACATAACCAATAGCTTCTTCAAGAATCATCTGGACATAAACCACAATCAAGTCAAATGCAAAGCTAAAATCATATTTAGGGAAAACTACATTTTTAGTACCCATCCATAACTTTTATTTCTTTTTAATTACTCAACTATTCTTTTTCTTCAAAATCATTCCTAATGTTACGTTTTCGTTTCATTTTGGTCACCCGTTAAAATATTAGCAGTATTATTGGCGTGTCATTTTTTTAATTTTTTCCAATAATGACATGGCATTATCTTATGAAGAGATGTCAACATCACCATTAATTGTTTTCACGTTGGATGACCAAAATGAAACAAAAGCTAAATGTTAGGTATGATTTTGAAGAAAAAATAGTTGGGTGACCAAAACAGAATAAAAGTTATAGTTGAGGTACTAAACATGTAGTTTACCCTTGATTTTATCATGTTCCAAATGCTTTTCAATATTTGATCCTGAAAATCTTCATGATAACGCACCCTCATTAATTTCAACTAAAGGGGGCAAAGGAAGAACAATCCAAACATCACATGGAAAGAAAATAAGCATCTACCTCGCAAATATAATATAGGGTCATGTTATAACAAACTTAAAGGGTAATACGATGACGTACAAGTCTTGGAGAAGATAGTTTGACATTTTCATCCTTGCCAGCAGCACGCATATTTGACAGTTCTTTACTCCTTACTGGATTCACCTGCAATAAGGGAGCCATTGCAAAAAGGGTCAGCCATCCATGAAGAAAACAAGGCCTGCTGAAGGGGAACTGGATCTTTTCTTACATCATGATCTGTATCACGAGAATGCTCACCAACTATCATGCCATCATATGCCTGTGAGCCAACAAAATAAACAAAAATTATACTTTTAAAGTAGAGCTCGCTTTAATCCGAAAGAAACTAGCCAACCTGCACAACAGGAACTCGATGCAACCTGTTTTCGATATAAAAGTTAACAACCCAATTCCAGAACTAACACTTGCTTATTTTACACTAATGTAAATAATAAATAAACAATACAATTGTATAAACTATTATTTTAGAAAAGTGCTTTGTTCATTTTTTTTTTACTAATCTAGTGTAAGTACAATGTAGTATTTGTTCAAAGAATACTCTCAACCACTTAACATTGAACGCTCATACTCTTGACATTTATATTACTCGAACCCGAGACCTCAAGGAATAACAACTCCTTTACCATCGAGATTGCTTGGTTCATGCAGCTATGTTCATTTGAATTAATTGTAAAAGTTGATAACCTCAAATGACTCATACATGAAGTGAACCTAAACATGGAATGAAATCCATAACTCGAAGCAATACGCCTAATTGCTACCTCCATACGGATGCAACCATACCTAATCATTTGGTTGATAAAGTGTACCTCAATCAACCATTTAATTAAACAAAGAATATAGATACTTTCCTTGCTGATATTTTTTTGTTAAAAATAAGACAACTTCCTAGGTGTACGAGCACTGTGTTGAAATAGAGAGAAGAGTAATGAGAAACAATGGCTTGAGTTTTCCATTGATTAAGAGTGAATATATATACACAAAATTGGACACATAGAAATAGGAAACTAGCCTAGAGTTAGGGGATTACAACTAATTACAAGGCATAGAAATAGGAGACTAGCCTAGAGTTAGGGGATTACAACTAATTACAAGAATATTATAATTGATTACAATAATTTAAAATATAGATAAAATCTATTATAATTAATTCTCTAATATGCCCCCTCAAGATGGAGCTCCGGAGGAGACACCAATCTTGACCCTTAAATCTTGGAATCGGCTTCGTGGAAGCGGTTTGGTAAGAGCGTCGGCAAGTTGATCTGCTGAGGAAACATGAGTAACACGAAGAGCACCTGATTGAACTTGACCCCGAATAAAGTGATAGTCAAGTGCCACATGTTTCATGCGCGAATGAAAGACTGGATTAGAACAGAGATAGGTGGCACCAACATTGTCGCAGTAGATAACAGGCGGTGTAGAAAGAGTGATGCCAAGTTCTGTGAGAAGGGAACAAATCCAATTGAGTTCAGAAGTAGTAGCGGCAACTGATCGATACTCAGCCTCCGTGGAGGATCGAGCAACTGTACGTTGTTTCTTGGATGACCAAGAAATAGGATGACGACCAAGATAGACAATATAGGCACTCGTTGAGGTATAATCATCTTTGTTTCCAGCCCAATCAGCATCTGAGAATGCATGAAGGGAAAGTGGATTTGCCTTGTGAAGGAATAATCCATGAGTTAATGTGCCACATAGATATCGAAGCAGTCGTTTTGCAGCATTCCAATGTTCAGACGTCGGGCGATGCATGAATTGAGAAAGCTTGTTGACAGCATATGCTATGTCTGGGCGAGTGAGGCAAAGATACTGTAGACTGCCAACAATTGTTCTATATTCTGTGCAGTCAGTTAGAGCTGTACCTGAATGAAGTGTAAGATTTCCATCTGTAACAAGTGGTGTAGCAACAGGTTTTGCACCAATCATTTTTGTCCGGGCAAGAAGATCAGTGATGTAGCGCCTTTGAGTAAGCAGCAGACCGGATGGAGTAGTTAGAACCTCAATGCCGAGAAAATAAGACAATGTGCCAAGATCCTTGATTGAAAATCTTTGTGCCATGAGGTCAATGTAGCGCTGAATAATATTGGTGTTGGTGCCTGTGATAATAATGTCATCCACATAAACAAGTAGATATATAGTAGTGTCACCTGAGTGAAGAATGAATAGGGAAGTGTCTGCTTGAGAGTTTGTGAACCCAGACTCAATGAGGAATTGGTGAAGTTCAAGGTACCAAGCCCGTGGGGCCTGCTTGAGTCCATATATTGCCTTCTTTAGTTTGCATACATGTGTTGGATTGTCTTTATCAACAAATCCTGGAGGCTGGGCCATGTAGACATCTTCGGAAAGATGGCCCTGAAGAAAGGCATTATTAACATCCAATTGTCGCAATTGCCAACCTCTACTGACTGCCAGGCTTAGAACAAGTCGTATTGTTGTCGGCTTGACAACCGGACTAAAAGTGTCATGATAATCCACTCCAGGTATTTGATGAAAGCCTTTGGCAACTAATCTAGCTTTGTACCTGTCAATAGAACCATTAGGAAGCCGTTTAATACGAAAGACCCACTTACATCCAATAAGATTCTGCAGAGAAGTAGATGGAACAAGCTCCCAAGTTCCATTCCGAACAAGAGCATCAAACTCATCATTCATAGCTTGTCTCCATTTGGGATCTTTTAGGGCTTGAGAAACAGTATGAGGCTCAATGTCTGATGGTTGAGAAATGATAGCAGTGAGGTTTATTTTGGTTAGGGGTTTATGGATGTTGTTTTTCGATCTAGTGGTCATGGGATGGGTATTTTGATGGGTGGGTTGCGCTATGATTGAAGCAGAAGAGGTCTTAGAATTGTGTGGTTCTAGTGGTAAATGGTCGACGATGGTTTCTTGGCGATTAACCGAGCTGTGTTCGGGTAAAGGGAGGTCTATGGATAGGGATCGACGGTCGACTGATGAGGAAGGGCAGTGGTCTGTTTGGGTATTTTGTGACGGATGTTGACATGAGGAATCCCTTTGTGGAGGCGTATTGAGTGAGCCACTTGAAATTGGTAAAATTTGGACCGGGGGAAGCCATTTGGAAATGATCTCTGGGGTGGGACGCGCTAGATGGATTTGGTGAGTGCTAAAGGGAAATGAGTTTTCAAGAAATTTGACATGACGAGAAATGTATATTTTAGAAGTGGATAGAGCGAGACAGATATATGCACTTTGTGTTAAAGAGTAGCCAAGAAAAACACAAGGAGTGGAACGAGAGTCAAGTTTGTGCTGAGAATAAGGACGAAGCCACGGATAACATAAGCAACCAAACACCCGAAGTTTAGTGTAGTTGGGTTGAGACTCAAAGAGTTTCTCAAAAGGAGATGAAAAATGTAGTGTGGGTGTGGGCATACGGTTGATGAGATATACAGCAGTGGCAAAGGCGTAAGTCCAATAAGTTAAAGGCATTGATGCATGAGTAAGGAGAGATAGACCAGTTTCAACAATATGTCGATGACGTCGTTCAGAAAAACCATTATGTTCTGGTGTATGGGGTGGTGTAGTAAGATGTGATATACCATTGGTGGAGAGAAAACGATCAAGGGCTTGATATTCACCACCATTATCTGAATAGAGGGTAATAATTCGGTGTTTAAATTGGTTTTCGACTAATGCCTTGAAACGTACAAAGACGTCATGCACATGAGATTTTCGTTTAAGGGGATAATACCAAATATATCGTGTATAATGATCAACAAAAATAACATAGTATTGAAAACCATCAACAGAATAAACAGGAGAGGTCCAGACATCAGAAAAGATAAGTTCAAGCGGGTGAGATGAAGTTAAGGTAGAAGAAGAAAATGGAATTTTATGACTTTTATTGCATGAACATGCATTGCAATGTGTGAAGGAGGATAACGGACTAGACAATGGTAAAGGAAATTTGGAAACAATATTTTTCATAATAGTAAATGACGGATGACCTAGTCTAGAGTGCCACTCGGACGAAGTGGTCTTGACACTGGAAAATGCAAGCAATGGTGAAGAGGAAAGTGAAGGGGATGTAGTCGGCCACTCATATACGCCATCCTTAGGTTCACCCATCAAAAGGATTGTCCCCGTGTTTAGATCCTTCACCTGAAAAGCAGAGGGTGAGAATTCAACAGAAACATGGTTATGAGTGCAAAATTGATAAATCGAAATTAAGTTCTTTTTCATGGAAGGGACACAAAGGACATTTTGTAAAGTAAAGGTGCGAGAGGAAGTTGGTATGGTGGTAGAACCAGTATGGGTTATGTGAAGGGCCGATCCATCGCCAATCATGACATCATCAGATCCTTGGTACGAGCTATGAAGAGAGAGATTGCTCAAGTCAGACGTAACGTGGTGAGATGCTCCACTATCCAGCAGCCAAGTAGGTGTAGTGTTGTTGCCCAGAATAGTATGATTGGCTCGTGGTTGCCAGGGTGTGGAAGGGCGATATCCCTGAGAGCCTTGAGGACGAGATGCTGGTGATTGTTGATTATTGACAAGCCGAAACATCGGGCATCGTTTGGCAGTGTGTCCTTGAGTGCCGCATGCTTGACAACGACCCAAATAAGGTTTGGGTTGGCGTTGATCATGAGGAGAAAGTATAGTGGTAGGGCCTGATTGTTGTGAATTGGTGGCTGGTGGACGCCAATTTGGACGATTCCGAAAAGCCGTGGGATTTGCTGTGGCTGGTAGTGATAGGGAAGGTGGTTGAGCGGTCTGAAGAGATGTTTCTTTGTTGAGAAGTTTCTCATGAAGTTCAGCAAAAGAAATTGACGTGTCACGGGCATTAATGGCATCAATGACAGATTTATACTCATCACTTAGTCCTTCTAGAACCCGATCAATAAGATCCTCATCATCAATTGGCTTCCCTAGAAGAGCAAGTTCATCGGCACGAGTCTTTATCGCTTGCATGTATTCACTAATTGATTTTGAGCCCTTGTTACACCGCTTTAATTGTTCCTTCAATTGTTTAATATGACCACGAGATGGTTTGGCGTAGGTATTAGCTAAGGTTTGCCATGCATCAAGGGAAGTGGTGGTGCGGGCAATAAGCGGTTGCAATGAAACGGAGATGGCACCAAGGAGAGCGCTAAAAAGGAGACGATCCTGACGCTTCCAGGTTGTGTACGCCAGATTTGGAGATGTAACACCATTGACGGTGATGGTGGGTTGTGGTGGAGTTTGAGTGCCATCAATAAAGTGATGAAGATCATAACCTTCAAGAAGAGATTGGATTTGAAGGCTCCATGTGAGATAATTGGTGGATGACAATTTGGTGATATTGGAGAGATTTATTGTAAGGAGAGGATGTTGAGGATCTTGAGAATTTTGGATAGTAATAGGATCGTTGGTGGAAGAGGAAGTCGTATGGGAAGCCATTGAAGGGACTAGTGGCGTAGTTTTAGATATATGTATATGAAGGATCGTGGTGTTTTTGAACCAAAAAAAAAAAAAAAAGGAGAAGAAAATATGCTCAGGAAGATTAGGCTCGTGATACCATGTTGAAATAGAGAGAAGAGTAATGAGAAACAATGGCTTGAGTTTTCCATTGATTAAGAGTGAATATATATACACAAAATTGGACACATAGAAATAGGAAACTAGCCTAGAGTTAGGGGATTACAACTAATTACAAGGCATAGAAATAGGAGACTAGCCTAGAGTTAGGGGATTACAACTAATTACAAGAATATTATAATTGATTACAATAATTTAAAATATAGATAAAATCTATTATAATTAATTCTCTAATACACTGAACCTAGAAATTTAGCATGAGTTGCTGGCTATGAAATAGAGACAAAGCTGTCACAGCATCCTTAAACACAAAGGAAGGTGAGTCCTATATTTACCAAGAGGCATCACCACCAAGGTAACTATTGTTTGGTTATAATTGTCTCATGAACTAATCTAAGTGTTTAATGGACTTTCTGACTTGGAAGATTCTTAAAACCGCTAGATTTCATTCAGAATAAATGAGCATGTTGTTAAAGTACTAAACCCACTCAGTAAGATAAAAACAATCAATGAGTAAAGAAAACCATGTATTCGTATTTTCATTCATTGGAAAAGCATAACATTGCACTAACAACTTAAGTTTATTTATACACAGAGGAGTGAGGTAAATCAGAAGAGCGGGAAAGGACGTTAGAGGAGAGAGAAGTTTGTTGGATCCAAAACAGTCCTAACAACCTCACGTACCTCACATGCATAATCATGCATTAGATACATCCATACATCAACACATACACTAACACATGTAGCCTAACATTTATCACATTCTCAAAATAAGTCCATAGTAACGGGTTTGAGAGTGGTTACAGAGGGTGAGGGGACTGAAAATTAATATCACCAGTTGCATATATAATCCTACCAAATCAATTTTTACAATAAAGATCAAATAACCCACTGGAATGCCAATAACTTATGAAATAGGAGCATGCATAAGAAAATAAAAAATTATTAAACTCAACAAGGAAACAACCTTCATCCTAGGGGTGACAAAAAGAGTTCCACGAGGTTCCAACCTCCATCCCAGGAGTCACAAAAAGAGTTCCACGAGGTTCCAAACTCATCAATGCTGAAAAAACTTAAAAAGAAGGTTGTTATCATTTACTAAATAGTTTACAACCTTTATAGAGTAGTCTAAGTGTAAATAAGGGAACAATCCCTAAAAATCAATAACTCCCTAAGAATTAGAGACTAAGATTACATCCTAAATTCCAAGGAAACTCCTAGGAATAAGGTAAGTAATCTATCCTTAATTTTAGGAATTCCAACACTCCCCCTCAAGCTGGAGTGTAGATATTTATCAAACCCAGCTTGCCAATAATTTCTTCAAACATGTTTCTTCTCAAGCTTTTGGTCAACAAATCTGCAAGTTGTTGTCTCGTAGGTATGTAGGTAACACAAACCTCTCCCGAGTTAATTTTTACTTTGATGAAGTGACGATTAATTTCCACATGTTTGGTGCAACCATGGTGAACAAGATTATGTGCTATGCTGACAACTGTCTGGTTGTCACAATGCATTTTTATTAGTCTTGTATAGGACACTTTTAGTTCTCCCTGTAGTCATTGTATCCAGATTCCTTTACATATACCATGAGATAGTGCTTGATACTCTGCCTCTGGACTGCTGCGTTCTACAAAAGGATGTTTTTTAATTCTTCATGTTACGAGATTACCCCAAATGTAGCTACAATAACCACTTGTAGAATGACTAAAACACCTGCCCAGTCTGCATCAGTGTATACTTCTACACTTCGGTTTGTAGTTTATTAAAGTGAAAACCTTTACCCAGAGTCCCCTTGAGATACCTTAATATCTTGTACGCAACTTCCAGATGTTTCTCCCTTGGAGCGTACATGAACTGGCTGATAACACCGCTCACACCAAAAGCTATGTCTGGACAAGTGTGAGATATGAAGATAAGTCTCCTTACTAGTCATTGATATCTCCCCCTGTCGATATCTTCTCCATCCTAATTAGTCCCTAATTTCAGATTGAATTCTATAGGAGTTTTGGCTGGTTTGCAACCCAAAAAACTAGCTTTTGAAAGTAGATCGACAACATACTTTCTTTGGGAGATGGAAATACCTGTCTTAGACCTTACTACCTCCATTCCAAGAAAGTATGTAAGATTCCCCAAGTCCTTAAGTTCAAATTCAGTACTAATAAACTCTTTTAGGCTTTTAATTTCACTTGAATCATCCCCTGTTAATATTATATCATCCATATAGACAATGAGAATACAACATTTTCCACTTTTCAAGTGTTTGTAAAACATGGTGTGGTCAGCCTATCTTAGAATATAGCTTCTACTAGTCATAGCTTTTGAAAATCGGTTGAACCACGACCTTCGAGATTACTTTAGTCTATATAAGGACTTCTCTAGCTTACACACTTTGTCCTTGCTCTCTTCAAACCCGAGTGAGAAGCCCAATACTTCCTCATTTAATTCCCCATTAAAGAAACCATTTTTTACTTCCAATTGGGTCAAGGGCCAATCCAATTAAGGAAACTAGTGCTAACATCTTTTTGTAAGTCAAGGCCATATGTTTGAGTTAAGCCCTTAGCCACAAGTCGAGCCTTGAACTGACCGATACTTCCATTGGGTTTAAATTTTGTAGTGAAGACCCACTTGCATCCTACAATCTTCTTATCACTTGGTAAATCCGAGACTTCCCACATTTCATTGTCTTTGAGAGCCTTTATTTCTTCCATCACAGCTTGCCTCTACTCAATTGATTTAAGAGCTTATTTTATGTTTTTCAAAACTTTTACAGTATCAACATTAGACACAAAGGCTTTATAAGACATAGATAAGTTTCTATAGGACACAAACCGAGAAATAGGATGTTGAGTGCAACTCATTGTTCCCTTTTGAACAACAATTAGATGATTGATGGATGGTGATGGATGTGAGACTTCTATTTTAGTACAACCTTCAGTTTGGGATTAAATTGGCATTGCTTTTTCAATTTCAGGAGGATGAAGTCATCGAGAGTATACCCTAAGTTCTAGAACTTGTTCTTGTTGCCTTCATGGATCATGTTGATGTTGTTCTTCGGTGGTGTGATTGATTATGCTAATTTCTTACTACTACACAGGAGAAACATTCACTAAATATGGAATTACAATAGTTTTTGGGTTGTTAGGTTTGTTTGTGATAGTAGTGGTAGGACAATGAGGTATAATGAAAAGGGTATTAAGAGTCTCATCTTCATTGAAAGTCTCCCATTGAAGATGATATACTGCAAAGTATGGTTCATTCTAAGAAAATGTGGCATCTGAGAGACAATCAGTTGGTGTAAGGTTGGTGAGTAACACTTATAGCTCTTTTGTGTAGGGGAATAGTCAATCAAGACACATATGTGGGCTCGAGGATCAAGTTTGGATTGATTGGGTTGATGATTGTGGACAAATGGTTTGCAACCGAATATTTTTGTTGGTAGGTTTGGAACATGAAATAAGAGAAAGGATTTTTTAAGTGTATGTAGAGGTGTTTAAAAATTTAATACCTTTGATGGTAGACAATTTATGAGGTACCAAGCAGTGAGGACAGCCTCTTCCCACAATTATTTTGGGACACCCATAGTGAACATTAGGGCTCGAGCCACAGTAAGGAGATATTGGTGTTTTCTTTTGGATATCCCATTTTATTGAGGTGTGTCGGGGCAATAAATTTTATGTTTGATGCCTTGGTCAGAAAGGTAAGGGCTTAGGACAGAGTTGAAATATTATATACCATTGTTAGTTCGAAGTGTATGTATGGCAGAATTAAATTGGGTTCGAGCCATTTATTGAAAGTTTTGGAAGATTTTGGGTGTTTTGGAATTTTCTTTGAGAAGGTATACCCAACAAACCTTAATGTGGTCATCAATGAATGTTATAAACTATCTTGCCCCCGTAACATTCTTTACACTGTTGGCTCCCTATATATCACTATATATTAATGAGAAAGGTTGAGACTGGACATAAGGCTTTAACGGGTATGGTACATGGTTGTGTTTAGATAATTGGAAAATTTCACATTTTAAAGAGCTCACACTTTTATTGTGAAATAACAAAGGAAGACGTTTCTTCAAATACAAGAAAGTTGGATGTCCTAGTATACGGTGCCATGACATAATTGTGTCCTCTTTTGAAGTAGATAGAGCCAAACCTTCTTGTTTACTGTCTTTATTCCAAACATAAATTCCATCATCAACTTTAGTGGTGCCAATCATCCTCCCTGATTTCTGTTCATGTACCACACAACCAATTGCAGGAAATTTAGTAAGAACATTTTCATCCTTGGTAAGTTTACTGATTGAAAGTAAATTATAGGAAAATTTGTGACATGTAAGATTTTATCAAGGGAGAAATTTTCTGTTAATTTTACTATTCCAATTCCAGCCACCAGTGAGTAGGATCCATCAGCTATGCAGATTCGGGATTGGTCATGACAAGTTATACAAGTGTGAAACAAAGTGGGGTTACATGTCATATGATCGGAAGCACCCGAATGGAGTATCCAATAGGATTTGTTAGGTTCAAGGACAATGTTGAGAGCAATACCTTGGGTGTGCTAGAGAACCACTAGCCGTAGAAGTACCAATCAACTTATGGAGTGTCTTAAGTTGGGTTTTGGTTAGGCGAATGTCAAGAGCATCATTTGCAGTAGTGGAGGTATTAGTGGACAACATTGTTGTCTTATTATTCTTCTGGTTTTTCTAGGTTAGCCATGGAGTTTCAAGCATTTTTCTTTGGTATGTCCTACATGGTTGCAGTAGCTACACCATGGCCTGGTTGAGCTCGAATCATTTCTAGCAAGGGACCTTTGTGATCGTGGACCTCTGGTAAGGGTTGAGTTTTCAGTAGAATAATAACCAGCAGTTATCACAGGTTTAGGTTCCTTTGAATCACCCATCATGACAAGTCGATGCTTCTCGTTTCTTCTAACTTATGCAAATGCTTCACCAATGGTTGGCAAGGGGGTTCTACCTAGAATTCGACCACGGACCTCATCTAGCTCTTGGTTTAGTCCTTCTAAAAACTCATAAAGACGTTTATTCTTGACGTGAGTTATAAACATGGTGTGTTCCACGTCTTCTCCCTAGTCTGTCTCATAGTACATGTCCAGTTCTTTCCACAAAATATTCAAATTATTGTAGTAGTGAGTTACTTCAAGTGTTTCTTGTCGGATGACCTTCAAGTTCAGTTTGATCTCAAAAACTTGGGAGAAATTTCCAAGATCCGAATAGTTTTCTTTAATTGCATCCCATATATCTCTTGCAGTTTTGAAGAAGAGGTAGGTGCGACTATTATGACCTTCCATTGAATTAATTAACCAAGCCATTACAATTCAGTTGTTGAGTTCCAAATTGTCATAAGTTGGGTCTGTTGTGGCTGGTCGTGGTATGTCTCTATTGATATTTCCTAGATTGCCACGACCACAAATCACCATAATGATCGATTGGGACCAGTGCATGAAAGTTTTCACGTCTAGTTGATGGTTGGTGAACATAAGAGATGAATTAAGGTCCCCTTGACGGGTTCCTTGATTGATACTTGGAATTATTTGTGAAGTTTTAGTCTCGGATGAGGTTTTGATTGTGTCACCCATGGGAAGGAATAAAACAGGAGGCAAAAGAGATTAAAGAGGAGGGTCATTTAGGACGAGAGATTGTAGATGACATGATAAAAAATCCTTAAAGCTCTGATGGCATGAACAAACTTAAAAAGAATGTTGTTATCATTTACTAAATAGTTTACAACCTTTATAGAGTACTCTAAGTGTAAATAAGGAAACAATCCCTAAAAATCAGTAACTCCCTAAGAATTAAAGACTAAGATGAGATCCTACTATACAAGGAAACTCTTAGGAATAAGATAAGTAATATATCCTTAATTTTAGGAATTCCAACAAATGCATAAGCTGTGATTGTACCATAACCCATTGAAACCTTTGTTCAGAGCAAACAATAAGCATAACTTGGAAAATATTCAACATAAAATAAATACGCTTTGGTGTGTAAATATTCAGATCGATAACAATTGTTAATTATCTTAAAAACAAGTATTCTCACTAATAATAGGGTATAGTGAAAGCCAAACAATATATTACATGCCTATGACATTTTTAATGACTATTCGCCCATCATATAGTATTCTCAGTAAAAGTAACGTCATTTAAAGAAGCTCTTGGTTAATGTGTCTAAACAAATAGCAAAGGATAATAATTATATTACACACACAGAAAATAACATGGTTATTAAGTCACAAGAAAACATTAGGCAAACATTATCAATACTCATTTCCTGACATTTCCATGAGGTCGTCGATATTTTTCATATGTTGCAAAGAGAAACAGATACCGGAAAGTGTTAGCAATACTAGGAAAAGTATCTTGTAAACTGACTCTGAGATTCTAATCTTCACAATCGATGTTTGAGGATCGACACTTTCCGAGGAAATTATCTAGTGAAATAATAATGGAGTTAAAATCCCCATTAACAGTCTAAACGGGTTTATAATTGATACCTGTCTCATTAGGCATATTTATAACACTAAATGGATTTATAAAACCCGTCTAACCCATCTCATGTTGTTTTAAAATTCCACCATCAATATTTATAATAATAAATCAACAAAGAAAATTACCGTATACATGGCCAATGGAGTGTTAAACTCGACAACTTGAAAGGGTTGACATGTGTCCCATTAGAATACATTTATGAAAATTAATAAATTAATTAAACATTAAACAGATATATGAAAACCATCTAATTTTTACTACTCCACCACCATTCTATATCATAGAATAAAAAGCCCGTATGATGTAAGGCGAATCTACACCCTTCAAAGCAAGTGATTAGACAACTTTATTGTTGTCCCGATCTAGGAATAACAAAAGTGATGCCCTTGAATTGTAAGTATGGCTGCAACAAAGAAAGATAAGTAAAATGATTAGTAAGGATATAATGAAATGGACAAGTAATAAAAATGATAATAAAAGGGAAGAAAGAGTTGGTTGCGGAAGTATATTGAAGATGATGTTGTTGGTGGCTTTCAATGGAAGATGGATGATTGTGTTGAAGTTAAATGAATGATAATAGAAGATGGTGATGAAGTTTGAATCTGAAACACGCCAAAAAAAATCTATGCTAAAGAGCACAACCCCGGTCTTCACAAACTTGCTTGAGGCATGGTAATGGTGTCTCAAACCTACTAGTTATGAAATTTAGGAATTAAAAGAATCAATATAGAAAAAATGACGCCACAAGTATAGAAATATACTTCCTTAATCGATAAAGTTCTTAAAGAACTTGCAAGAGAGAATTCTCACAAATGAGTTTTCTATATTCAAAAGCTGTTTACAAATGATGGCAGCCTATTAATTTATAGGAAATGAGAGGGATGGTCGAATAATTTGATTCCCATTCGGATAAGTACATGATTAAATGAAGGTGCATGATGCTTTGGACGAATGGGGATTTCTATTTGCCTTGTGTTGGTTTGGCTACTCATTCATCAATGTGCATGACTTTTCGGTTGAAATGAAGGTGCATCTCCCTTGGCCGAATGGTTATGTGCTGCTTCCCTTTGACGCCAAGCCTTGTGCATGTGCTAGGCTTGTGGGGGATGGCCGAATGGTCATGTTACTTGCCTCATACCTCTTCGTGATTTAGGCCTCCATTTGATGAGTTCTCTTCACCAACGTGCACTTGATGAAATGGCAT